AAAAAAAAAAAAAAAGACGGGGTGGGGAGCGAGGATGAGGAAAGGGCCCTGGAGGGTTTTGCTCAAGGTCATCTAGAAAGTCTCTGATGCAGTTAGATCAGTGCTTTCAGATTTCCTGTGGGTCTTCTTGCCTGAACCTCGTCTACTAAATGGATGAGACCCTGCTGGGGTGGGAGTGACCAGAAAATTGAAAAGTGGGGAGAATGAAAAACTCTTTCACTTAGCTCTACTCTGTGCTTGGTTCTCAATAATAGGAAGAGGTTCACCAGTATGGGGTACAAATGAGGTACAAAAATTATTGATGTTCCAGATTCCACCTGACATCACTGAGAGTTCTTCCCCCTACGTTTCCCACGCCATACCAAACTGGCCACAGACCTGGGGGGTTTACTCAGTTCCTATCAGCCAGCTGCAGCCATGTGGTGTCACTGTTGTAGTTCCAAGAATCCGTGTTTTTGCATGTTCAGACCTTGCATATGTATTGATTTCCCTATCTGGGCCTCACGGTTCCATTCTGATGTTTAGCATTCACGTTTATCAAACCTACTTCTGTTTTTATAAATAACATGTTATTTGAACATGGTCATACTCGTTTGTTTACAAACTATCTACAACAGCGTTCGTGCAACAGCCACAAAGTTGAGGAATTGGTTTGCAAAACCAAAAATATTTACTATCTGAATTTTTACAGACACTGTTTTCTGATTGTTGATTGAAAAGACTTTACTTCACCAGTCCCATACCATGTTTACATTACCCCGTACAGCTCCCATATCCATTGTACATGTTGGGTATCACTGGCTCAAATCATTAGATGAAGGAACTGCGGCTCAGAAATGTGAATGACTTATTCATGGGCGTGCAGTTAGTAGATGGGCTAGCCAGGTACAGACATGAGCTACCTTGCTCACGTGGGAAGCTAGAGTCTCCATATTTTTCCCTCCCCCCGCCCTCCATATATTTTTTTTAATTATGGAAAAATTTTAAACCTATGTAAAAGCTGAGTGTACTGAACTCTGTACCGGTTTCTCAGCTTTGACACTTGTTCACATTTTCTCAGTCTTCACCTTATGGATCATAACCCATCATAGGGGTGGCACAGGACCCTGCAGTGTCTCATTCTGTCTGAGTCCGGGAATAACTTAACAGCAGATGACAATGACAACAGCAGCTATACCCTTTCACCTTCTTTTTTATGGAGAACTCTAGCTAACAGATCATTTCAGCCATCAAGTTGAAGGCTCTTTAGTAGAAAAGAAGGCTCAAGGGCTTCCTCATGTGTGGGAAGAGACTCTGAAGAGATCACTCTGGGCTTCTGCTTTGGCCATTTTGCCCTTTGATCCCAGAGAAATAGGAGCTCCTCTTTCTTTCTATCCTCCCAATCAGGGAAGAAGCTGTTACCAGATGCCCAGCTCCTGGCCCATCGCTTCCTGCTGAGGAGGAAGTTCATTCCTGATCCTCAAGGCACCAACCTCATGTTTGCCTTTTTTGCACAACATTTTACCCACCAGTTCTTCAAAACTGCTGGCAAGATGGGTCCCGGCTTCACCAAGGCCTTGGGCCATGGGGTGAGTTCCTAGGAGGGGTTCAGGACCTACTGAAGCATGCTCAATGAGCTCATTGCAGGTGGAGGCTTGGGGAGATCTGAGTGGACCCTCTGTATCCTCAGGTAGACCTGGGCCACATTTATGGTGACAACCTGGAACGTCAGTATCAACTGCGGCTCTTTAAGGATGGGAAGCTCAAGTACCAGGTAGTGTTGGACCTTGGGCTGTGGTGATGGGAAGAGCCTTTGATGGTCTCTTCTGGAAAATGCTGTGTGCATGTGGGCTGAGTGGTATAGTGTTGGGGTCAGCTCCAGGAGATGGAGATGGTAGTGTGTGCTAGGAGGAGAGACAGTTTGAAGACAACAAAGAAGAAGTTTCCAGGCAAGAGGAGTGGATAATGAATAGGTACATGGCCCCATATGTCCTCCTGGGAGATAGATTTTGAGGTTCAACAGGAAGTGGACATTCCCTCCTAGGTGCCTGCATTTGTTTACTTATCTATCTTTCCCGCAATATTAACTGTGCATCCTGACGCACTTGGCACAGGTGATAGAGTGGCCAACATCATAGAAGTGCTGGCTTCTCAATGAACTGACAGCTCGTCAGGAACTACAGACATAAACTGTAAGGTACTGTCTCTAGAAGGGTTTTTGTCTAAACCGTCATTGTCCAACAGAAATGTCAGCAAGTAATTGAACATTTTCTAGTGCCTATATTAAAATAACCCTAGCTACCTTATTTGTAGAATACATTTTAAATATTATTAGTCTTGGCATCCACTTCCTAAATAACATGCCTCTGGAAACCCTATGAACTTCGATAAATGTTGATAGTTGCAGGGGGGCTTCAGGCCTTTTGTTCATGGGGTCGCTATGAGTCATGCTCGAGTCGAAGGCAACCAACAACAGTTTATTTTTTTAATCTATTATTTATTAATGTAATCAACATGAGAGTTATTAATAAAATATTTCACTTTTGCCCCTGATAAGTCTTTGAAATCTGGTATGTGTTTTGTACGTAGTTGTTGTTATGTACTGTCAAACTGAAACCCACACATAGCTGAACCTGCAGTGAGTTTTCAGAGGTTGTTAATTGCGCAGGAGGAGATGGCCTGTGTTTCTTCTGCAAAGCACCTGGCATATTCGAACTGTGTGCCTCTGGGTTGGCAGTGCAACCCCTTACCACTCAGTCCCAGAGCTCCCTTTTTATATAGAGCACCCCTCAAATTAGACACTGACTCCTCTCTGGAAATACTTGTTCTGTATTTAGATTTCATAAAATTTACAGTTGAAAAATAGACTCACATACTTAAGTTGTTACATGCACACTTGAGGATTTTCCAATAATTGAAGTATGAGTTTTACAGAGAAATGAAATTAATAATTTCATTTATTTGTACTAACTGCATTTTGAATGTTCTACTGTACTGGACAGTGCAATCTAAACACAAACATGTACTGAAGAATCCATAGGGTGAAGAACAGTACTTGCCCTGTAGTAAACTCTCAATGGATATTTTAAAGAATGAAGAAACTGCCAAATAAGCATACTTGTGACAGGCCCCCAAGGAGAAGGTTTAGGTGTCTTCAGAGTGTCAAAGGATTAGAAAATCTTCACTAGAAAGTTATTAATAAAGAAAAAGACTTGTATGAAGGACAAGCAGGAGTTAAGAAGGCAAAGAGGAGTAAAGGTTTGACATGTGCAAAGACTTAGAGTTGGGAAGCAGCTTAGAGTGAAAGGGGACAGTGTTGCTGAACCTAGGCGATTGGGGATAAGAATGAGTGTAGGTGAAGGCGGAGATGTTAAGTGTTTCAGAGTTTCTGCCAGGAGCAGAGAGGGAACCTCCAACAGTTTTAAGTGAGGGAATACTATTAGATTAAAAATACACATACATCAGAGATAGGACAAAATTCAGACCTGTTGTTACTAAGGGCACTATGAGTGATTCTTGACTCAGTGGCACTTATCAACACAAGGCTTTTCAAAAGACTTTTATTGACTGCATTGTAAGGAATGGACAACTGTGGGGATGGGAATGAATGGTAATCAGAGTAGAAGATGAGGGATGATGATGATTGCAGTGGGATGGAGAGAACTGGACTGATTTTAAAAGAGGTTTGTTTAGAAGGTAGAGTCAACAGATTGAAGAGGATGGGGTTCTGCTCTGGCATGTGGGCAGATGGAGGACTGTCAGTAGGCGTGGCAAAGTGTCAGCTGTGGGCAGGGGTGGGTGCCTCACTGCCCCAGGTTGCTAAGTGATCTATCTGCAGGTGCTGGACGGAGAGGTATACCCCCCTTCAGTGGAAGAGGCACGTGTGTTGATGCACTACCCGCGGAATGTTTTGCCCCGGAACCAGATGGCTGTGGGCCAGGAGATGTTTGGTTTGCTTCCGGGGCTTATGCTCTATGCCACCATCTGGCTCAGAGAACACAATCGTGTCTGTGACTTGCTGAAGGCTGAGCACCCCACCTGGGATGATGAGCAGCTCTTCCAGACAACCCGCCTAATTCTCATTGGTGAGGACCCTTTTCCAGCCCTGCCCTGGAAAGGCTCTATCTTGAGAAGTGGGTGCTGGGGGGTAATGAGTTGTTGACAGACAGGATTGCATGCCAACTATGAGAGTAGGCCCCTTTCCTTTTGGGAGCCTCAGTTTCCAAATCTGTTCATTGGGAATAATAATGGTGGTAAGAATTTGTTGATATAATAAGCAAGAGGGGACCTGGCAAGAAGTAGGGTTTTAGAAAATGAATGGCCATGATGATTGCTAACTGGGTGACTCATGACAAATCTGATTAATCAACTCAAATCCTAGTTTCCCTCTTGTACTATACCCTGGTTCACACAGTGATACCCCCAGAACAGGCAGGGTCAAATCCCGGCTTGCCCAGACTTCAAGAGCCCTGTTTTCCTGCCTTGTGTGTGTCTGCTTGTTTGGAGTTTGAAGGCTCCTAGGTGACTCAGGGACAGGATATTTTTGTGTCTCCTACGGGGGTGAGTCTGTAGCCTAAAATGTCAGATGGTTTCCTGCCTGGAACTTGGTCCTTGACATCCTTGTTCAAGCCTTGTTCTTCCTGAGTCACCACTAACCCCCTTTCTCTACCTTCCCCCATCATTGGGCATAGCTGGTCTTAATTATAGTGCCTGATTTTGTGGAGCATGGAAAAGGCTAGCATTATGAATAAGAATGGTCTGGAGAGGGAGCGAGGCTGATCCTGACGTACTAGTATTGGGAGAACTTGACCAGAGAGGTCAGATTTGTGGCTGACAGCTGCCCAGCATGTTGAAAAGTGATCAAGCTGTATCAAATGCAGGACTCCTAGGGCACTGTAGATCCAGCGTATTACCTAACATCTTCCCAACAAATTATGAACGACATCTTTTCCTTTATGGGAAAGTTAAAATTCAAAGAGGTTGAATGAATTCTCCAAGACTGCTCAGCAGAACAGGACTCGAACCCAGGTCTGGCCACTAAGCTCATGCTACCTACTCCTGCTATTTCTGAATGGAGAGAAGTTGAAGACATCAGTCTGATCTTTTGTGATATGTGAACATAAGGGAATTCTCTCCGTGTGCCCTGTATTTAGTACTCCTGCTTTTAGCCGACATGTTCACTTGTCGACATTCCCTGCATGCCAGGCCCTGTACCAAGAAGTTTAGATACACTTTTGTGAATTCCTCATAATGACTCTATGGTCTAGGTGCTACTGTATGCATATTACAGTCATGGAAAGTGAGATTCAGAGAGCTTAAATAACATGGCTTGTACTTTATTGGCTAGACACAGTGGGGCCAACATTTGGGCATGGGTTTAATGATTCTAAATTCTGTAGCTCAAGGTCTGACTAAGCACCAATTTGTATAATGCCAATGGTTTGAAATTTAGTTGACTAGTCTTCATTTTGCTATGGATCTTCAACTTGGATCTTTTACCCCTGAATCTTTGCTTTGTATAAGTAGAAAAAAACTGTTTTAAAAAATTCTTATTTTTTTTTTTTAAAAACAGGAAATAGTGTTTTAAAATATACCTTTTGAGTCCCTGGGTGCAAATGGGTAATGGGTTTTGCTGCTAAATGAAAAGCTGATAGTGCAAGTCCACCTGAGGTACCTTAGAAGAAAGACCTGGCAGTCTGCATCTGAAAAACAAGCCACTGCCCACTCTGTGAGCAGGTCTGTCCTCTGACACCCTGGGATCACCATGAGTCTAAGCTGAACTGATGACATTGTGTTTTTGTTTTCTTGGGGAGGTGGGTTCCATGCTCCCAGTGTCTTCTCCTGGCTGTTGTAGTTGTTCTCAGAGTGACCTCTTTGAAGTTCTCTGACTCCCACACTGATGATGTCAGCGTGCCGAGAGCATGCACTGTGCAGATCCTCCACTGATCTCTCAACAATTAAGTGAATTTTATGAACTCTAGCTCTCTGTTACCTTCTTTGTATGTCCTGCTTAGCTGAGTCCCCCCACCCCCCCTTGGAATGCAAGAGTAGCTGGCGCCTCTTACCTTGGACCTCAGTCAAAGGTGTTTGCAAAAGGCAAAATGAAAAATGGTCAACTAGAATGAGTTAACTGTTGATAACAATAGCAAATCATGCAAGACTTTTCGTGCATTGACCTGATTCCCAAGTTGGGTGTCGAAGCTGATGTACTCTACTGACCCTCTTCCCAATCTTCCCCTGCCTAGGGGAGACCATCAAGATTGTAATTGAAGAGTATGTGCAGCAGCTGAGTGGCTACTTCCTGCAGCTGAAGTTTGACCCAGAGCTGCTGTTCGGGGTCCAGTTCCAGTATAGCAACCGCATCGCCCTGGAGTTCAACCACCTCTACCACTGGCACCCGCTCATGCCTGACTCCTTCAAAGTGGGCTCCCAAGAGTACAGCTACGAGCAGTTCTTGTTCAACACCTCACTGCTGGTGGACTACGGGGTGGAAGCCCTGGTGGATGCCTTCTCTCGTCAGGTGGCTGGCCGGGTAAGCCCCAGATGCAGCCTTGGGCAGGGCTATGGGCACTGGAAGCAATAGATGTGGGTCCAAATCCCAGTTCCTCCTCTGCAAAGTTGGGGTAGAGTCACTGTGAACACACCTTCATTAATTTTCTTGCTTATTTGTCCATTTTGCAACACCAGGCATCTTTCCAGGGACTGGGGAGACAGTGGTGAACAAAACACATGTGGTTCTTGGCCCCAGTTCTCTTGGTGTTTCCACCCTAGACTGGGATTACTGTCATAAAATAGCTAACAGACTTTGAGCACTTGCTGTGTGTTAGACATTGTGCTAAGTACTTTTTAGATATTATTAGCTTTAAAAACACAAGATATAAATCGCAATAGAGAATGTTCATGGTGTTCTGGGAGATCAGACAAGGCCTTCTGACCCTGTTTTGGATCAAAGAGTGATGAATGGTTAAGAAATAGAGCAAAGGTCTTAAGGAAGGTTAGGATTTTTCCAAGATGAGGGTAGATACCCCGGTTCCAGCATGAGCAAAGGCCAGAAAGTAGAAGGCATGGTGATTTGAGGAATAGAAAGACATTCAGGATGTGGTCATACATATGAAAGTGCCTGTATGTCATAGGTCTTTATGAAATCATATGCCCTTTTATCCTGGAATTCTGAACCAACCTCTTCTCCTGACTTGGAAGTGCCTAGTTCCTTCATGCTACCTCTTTTACTCCTTCATTTTCAGCCTCAAGCCCTTGCTTCTCTCTAGTCCTTGTTTCTGAGCCCTATCAGGAAACTGCAGCACCATATGGGTTCTGTTTCTTCCTGGTTATTTAACTGAAATTAGAATATGTTGCCACCAGTGGGCAGCTGCTGGCTAATTTCTGTGAGGACATGGATGCAGAGATAATGGCTTTTGTGTAATGAGGTGTGGTTTCCAGTGCATTTTTGAGGCATGGCCACCATGATCTGTGGAAATGATGATGTGGCACAAAGGAGACAGGAGTGAGCTGACTCAGGATGTTAGAAAGAGTGTAAGAAATGATAAGACAGTGTTTCCTCTGATAGCCATCACACATGGCTGACAGCGTGCAGGAGACCAGGGGGACCATGTGGTTAGCACCATGATAACCGCTTTGCATATTTTATCTCATCCATTTTGCCACAACCCTATGTGGGAGATGCTCTCGCCTTCTCCATTTTTACATATGAGGAAATGGAAACTCAGCTGGAGTTATTTGCCTCGATTCCACAGCTTGCCAGTGATCTGGCCAGGATGGGAACAGCATCTCTTTATTTTGTTCCAAAGTGCATGCTTTCATCCATTTTTATCCTCCCCACCCTATTTTGTTTCTAAGCAGAATTATTCCTTATTAACTATGTGTTCATTCTGAGCAACAGAGCCTTTGTTAGACCAATGGTCCTTAACCCTGATGAACCAGAATCCTCTGGAACCTCCTTTATCTCACTAGGTTACCTGGGTTTTGAACTCTATTTTAACTCCTGCTTTTGTGATTGAACTCAAAGTTTAGCTTAACGGAATTTATTTAGACACTGCCATTTTCCTAGGAAGATTTTGAACTCTCTCCCTACCTACTGCTTTTCTTCTTCAGACAGCTTGGCAGGAGGAAAGAGAGAGAATTTAGTCATCTGTGTTTCTGTGGCTACTTTCCTGCTCCTAGTCTTTCTTCCTAGTGGTGACCAGGGATGCTCTGGTGGCCTAGTGGTAAGAAACTGTGTTGCAATCCCAAAAGAGACATGCAGTTCAGGCCTACCAGCTGCTCCGCAGAAGAATGATGCATAATCTTCTCCTGGGTGATCTACTGCCTCTGAAAATCCACTGGAAGAGCAACTGTAGGTCAGTTCTGACTCAGTGGCACAAAAGAACAACGACAGTGGTGAACAGATACTAGGATTTTGCTTCTTAGTATTAGATGCTCAGTACGTTTTGATACTGAGCAATGGAAAGAAATAAGAAATGATTTCTTAGCAGGATCCCTTAAAAGATTGTCTCCCACAAGAAAACTTCTAAAACTAATGGCAAAATCCAAGGTCCAATAGCAAAATAGCAAGGTCCAAGGTAACTCACCAAAAGGTAATTGTGTTTCTACACACCAGCAATAAGAAATCGGAAAAGGAAATCAGGGGGGAAAATTCCTTTTATAATAGCACCTTAGAGAATAAGATACCTATGAATAAATCTATCCAGAAATGCAAAGGGCTCAGGCAATGAGAACTATAAAACATAGCTAAAACATTTAAAGAAGACTTAACTCGGTTGAAAGATACTCTATGTGCACGGATCAGAAGAGTCGATATTGTTAAGATGTCAATATTACCCCAGTTTATAGGTTCAACACACTCCTGGTCAAAATTCTCACAGCCTTCGTAACATAAATGGGAAAAAAACCCCAGTCCTCAACTGTATATAGACTGGTTGTAGGTTGTTGTTGTTTACAGTCGAACTGGAACCAGCTCCTAGCTGACTCTCTGGTGAGTTTTCAGAGACAGTTGTGCAGCGGGAGGTTTCCTTCCTTCTCCTGCAGAGCAGCTAGTGGACAGCTTCTTGCCACTAGGTCACTAGAGAAACCCCAAAAAACCGACAAAAACCCTCCTTAAGTTATTGCCTTTAGTCAGAAAAACTCATAACTGACCTTTTAAGGGGTTTTCAGAGGCTGTAAATGGTATGGGAGGAGATTGCCTGTCTTTTGCCCACAGAGAAGCTGGTGGATTCATGACAGTGTAACTCCTTCCTCACTACATCACCAGAGATCCCTCTGAATCACTGAAGCAATGTTTAAAGAGAAAGTTCAAGCACTTATACCTCCTGATAGGCATACAGAATACACAACTGTCAAGGGATATTAAAGATGCCATGAACTGCCAGAAGATCAACAAATCTATCTTGGAAAAGGACAGCTGGAATGCTCCTTAGAAATAAGCATAGTGAGATTCTTTTCATATTTTTGGGGCATGTTGTCAGGAGAGCCGAGTCTCTGGAGGAGGACATCATGATTGGTAAAGTAAAGGTCAGCAAAAAAGTACCTTACCTAGTGGCCGCAGCAATGTGCTTAAACATGGCAATGGTTATGAGGATGGTGCAGGACTAGACAGTGTTAGGTGCTGTTGTACACAGGGCTACGATGAGTTGGAACTGACTCTATGGCACGTAACAACAACAACAACAACAACAATAACATAACTACAGGAATAAAAATAACCTTATACTTGTAGAACAATAGCCACATAGGCCAATGGAATAGAATTGAGAGTCTAGAAAGAAACTCACACATTTATAGTCAAATGACTTTTTTTACAATAGAAAAGAAGTGCCTCTTCAATAAATGATTCTGGGAAAACTGGATTTCCACATGTAAGAAAATTAAGCAGGATCCATGCTTCACACCATATACACAAAGCAAATGTAAAAGAAATCAAGTGCCTCAATATACAGACTGAAACCAAAAGCTTCTTAGAAGAAAAAGCATGGGCAGTGCTGTCAGGCCTGTTTCCAAAAGTGGATTATCTATTACAAAAACAAAAGCACAAATAGCAAAAGACAAAATTAATAAATGGGACCTCATAAAAATGAAAAAGTTTTGTTCATCAAAAGACTTTACAAAAAAATGGAAAAGACAAGTTACTTACTAGGAGAATATCTTTGGAAACTGTTTATCCATCAAGAGTTTAATAACATATATAAATAAAGGAGCACTGGTGACTGAGGGTTAAGGAATTGCGGCGCTGCTACTCCAAAGCCATGTAGCCACCAGTTGTTCTATATGAAAAGATGGACAACTTCTTCCTGTGAAACCTATTGTCCCTGAAAACCTGCTGGAGGGTCAGTTATGGGTCGGTTTCACCTGACAATACTTAATACAGCAACATATATAGCTAGGCTGTTATTATGTGCTGTCCAGTTGGAACTGGCTCATTGCTCACCCCTAGAAGGTTTTTAGAGGTAGTAGATTGCAGAGGAGGAGGTGGCCCATCTTTCCATACAGAGTAACTGGTGGATTTAAACCATGTGTCTTTTGTATTGTAGTACAACTTGTACCTCCTCGGCCACCACAACAGCTTCCTGGCGACACAGACATAAACAGACACACACACACACACACACACACACACACACACACACACACACACTTTAACAACTTAGCACACACACACACACACACACACACTTTAACAACTTAACAAAAAGACAAATAATCTATCATAGAATGGGCAAAGGACTTCATCAAAAAGTTCACTCAGCACATGAAAAGATGTCTAGTGTCATTGTCGTTAAGTGCTGTTGAGTTGAGCACAACTCATAGTGACCCTATGAACAAAAGGTCTGAACCTTGTTCTATGACTGTCATCGTTTCTCTAATGTTCATAGGGTTTCCAAAGGCATGTTGTTTAGGAAGTGGATGCCAATCTCGCATGCAGTTTGAATCCACCAGTTGCTCCATTGGAGAAGGATGGACAGTCTCCTCCCCTATGATTTACTGTCTCTGAAAACTCACTGGAGGGTCAGCTACAAGTCAGTTCCAACTTAACAGCACACAACAACTTCAGTCTTGATATAAACTTCAGTCCCGACTTGAACACACAACTTCAGGATGACATGAACTTCAGTCTCCATAGTTCTAAGAGCAGGATAACTAGATGATATCACTAACATGGTTGACCATACAGAAAGAGATCATAGTAGGCAGTGCCTGATAGAGTTTGAAGTCGTAACAATAGCAAAAATAATAAAAAAAGATTAGGTTTACTGATCTGATAGAGACTGATAAAACTGGAACCGTTGAAAATATGATTCTTAGTAATTTTTCAAGCCTGGAGTAGGAATCATCTTCATGGCTCAATTTCTAGGCAAATGAGGCAGATGTATATATACTGATCAATAACATTAGAAAGGAATACATTCTTAGAACAATTAATTATACAAGATCAAAAAGACAATATTTTCCCAGTGAAAAAGCTCAGAAGACAGGAAGGGATAGGAAAGAAAGATGAATGGAAATGGTAAATATAGAGAGGAACTGGGAAGATTAGTGTACAATGTGACGATTGAAATAATTGTCATGAGCATGAATTGTTGGGTAGAAAACTGTTTTCTGTGCATACTTTCCCTCACGTCACAGGATCAGGTTTTGTTTTTTTAAATTTTTTGTGTATGTACTGTCAGATTGGATCTGACTGGTACAGAAGGTATTGCCCCTCCATCTCCAGCAGAGCACCTGGTGGATTCGAACCACATACTTCTGGGATTGCAGCGCAGCTTCTTGCCAGAACTCCCTAGTATTAAGTTTTAAAAAGTTGTAATAAGATATGTCGTTTATAAGGTGGATTATTTTAATCTGTGGCCCTCAGGCCTGGTTTTAATTGTTTTTGGTCAAACATTCTTCTAAGTGGTATGTATAGCACTGGTCTGTCCATTTGCTGTACAGAGGTACCTCATGGTTGCTGTGATGCTAAACACTGTGACACTGATGTGTCAAATGTGATACTATTACCCATAGTGGACAGTGTTTGGTGGAGGTTCCCAATTAATACAAACTTGGAAGCAGGAGTGGCACCCACTTCTGAAATAGTTTGCCTCTGGAAACTCTATGAACATGGAGAAATGATGGAAATTATACAAGTGTTCAGGTCTTTGGTTCATAGGGTTGCTATGAATCTTCTATGACTCAACGGCACTTAACAACAATTCATATATATATTTACAACAGTGATATAAAAAGAGCAGCTGCTGAGGCTGCAAATACTTCATGGAATTTCGTTTCTTACTGTGGTGGCTTAGAGTCATGGTTTCAAGCAATATGCTGCTTAATGGACCTAATAATATAATTTAGTGCTTCTGCCCCACCTCCAATTTGATAAGTAGTGCTTAGAATCTTGAAAACTTGCGAACAGCTATCCAAGACACAATTAGTCTTTATTCACCTGGGATAACAGAGGAAAAGGCACAGGAGGATATGTAATATGTAATCAGCTGATTGCTTCTATGAACAACTGCCTCCTTTGCCATGAGACCAGAAGAACTACATAGTGCTTGGCTACCATTATTGAATATTTTGATAAAGGATTCCAGAGAAGAGTTCTGATTAAAGGGTAGATGGTGGTGGAAAATATAGAATAGAATAGAATAGAATAGAATAGAATAGAATAGAATAGAATAGAATAGAATAGAATAGAATCTCAAAGTCTCATAGATTTCAGACCTTCTGGTGCCAGTAAGGGTTGGATGATCCCTTACATTATTGTCCTGAGATAACTTGTAAACTAAAGATGTCTTTTAAAGTCTTCTTAAAACCAAACAATAAACCAAAATCCTACTGTTAAGTTTCCAACTCATAGAAACCCTGTAAACAGAGTAGTACTGCTTTGTAGAGTTTCCAAAACTTTAGACCTTTAGGGAAGCAGATAGCCTCATCGTACTTTCTTGGAACAATTGAACAATTAATTTTTTGTTTAGTAGCTGAATCCTTCAACCATAGCACACAAGGTGCCTTGAAAGAAATCAATAGTTTAGCTTAACTATAAAAACATTTACTGGAAGATGGGGCCATAAAGCAAAGAAGGAATTCCCTGCCCCTCCCAAAACTGAAGCCAAAGCAAAAAGCCTTAAAGGCCAAGAAAGCAGTCCTGAAGGGCATCCACAACCACAAAAAAAAAAAAAAGATCCACACGTTACCCACCTTCCTGCATCCTAAGACACTGAGATTCTGAAGGCAGCCCAAATACCCTTGGAAGAGCACTCCCAGGAGAAACAAGCTTGACCACTATGCCATCATCAAGTTCCCCTGACCACTGAGTCAGCCATGAGGAAGAAAGAAGATAACAACACACTTATGTTCATTGTAGATGTTAAGGCCAACAAGCACCAAATCAAACAAGCTGTAAAGAAGCTCTATGATATATATGTGGCCAAGGTCAACACCTTGATTAGGCTTCATGGAGAGAAGAAGGCCTATGTTCAACTGGCTCCTGACTATGATGCTTTGGATGTTGAAAAAAAAAATTGGATGATCAGGGCAGAGGCAGATCATCCAATTTTTTTTTTTCAACATCCAAAGCATCATAGTCAGGACACCGGTCTTTAGCCAGAGAACTCTCTGGAACTATTAAAGAGATCCTGGGAACTGCCCAATCTGTGGGCTGTGGGCTGCAATGTTGATGGCCGTCACCCTCATGACATCATAGAAGACATCAACAGTGGTGCTGTGGAATGCCCAGCTAGCTAAGGAACTACAGATGAAAATATTTCAATAAAGGATTATTTGTTAACCAAAAAAAAATTGGAATAATCTAAACGAAGTCCAGTTTGCTAATTCTAAATTTTTCTCACAAAAAAAATTGCCATGCAAATAGCAACTAAAGATTAGGTGGTAAGCTTGGGGTGTCGTGTGGTAGTCAGTGACTTTAAGTTAGCAGTGGAGGAACGATTCAGAAGAGGAGAGAGAATAGTTATGATCAATTTCGTTACTGAATGTAGAAACTGATGAATTGGTTTATGTTTTGCTGCGTATATTCTCAACAAAACAAAAAAAGAAAATTATGTATGTTTTAAAAAGCCACATAGACACAAAACATTATCCCATGATGGAAAAGTATTCAGGAGTGACAAGCACATGTTAGCTCTGCCTGAACATAATGTAAAAAGATCATTGCTAAAAAGATCATAGCTAACCTTCCAGTGAGTTTTCAGAGGAGGCTTTATATCTTGTAGAAGGAGAGTGCCCATCATCTTCCTCCCATGGTGAGCTGGAGGATTTGAACTGCCTGCCTGGCAGTGCAGCCTCTCATCACTAAGCCAGACTTACAAAAGAGATTTCTTATTTGATTCTCTCAACCCCTGGCACTCAAAATAAGTAATACTGGTAGTCTTTATTTCATGCAGTTTATTGGCTCAGAAACCCTTTTTTGCCTCTGACTTCATCTTCAGAGCTGGAGTGCCCTCCTCTTCTGCTTTAGTTCTTAGCTGTGGCTAAGAACTTCTCCACAGAGTCCTTGTTGCTAAGCCAAATAGATCCAGAGCCTTCCTCAAATAGCCTCAGTGGTTCTCATCCAGATTTAAATGATTCAGCCACAGTCCAAGTTGGTGAGCAGAGAGGTCCTTCTGGCCTTTTGAACACTATAAAGTTAAGGAAATTTAGACTCGGAGGGAGGAGGAAGTCCCTGAGATACCATGACAGTGGCACGCCTGGGGTTACATGTTTCAGTCTTGCTGTCTTTAAGAGAGCTTAAAAAGAACTTCTGCCCTGAAGTTCTTTTCTTAGGGACTTACATCAGGCTGCAGGGCAGCCTAGCCTGGTCCTCAGACCACAGCTGTGCTCATCTCTTGGCAGATCGGTGGGGGCAGGAACATGGACCAGCACGTCCTGCACGTGGCCGTGGAGGTCATCAAGGAGTCTCGCGAGCTGAATCTGCAGCCCTTCAATGAATACCGCAAGAGGTTTGGCATGAGGCCCTACACATCCTTCGAGGAACTCACAGGTAAGCAGCTGTTTCCTGGACACGGCCCCTTTCCTCGAGGTGCTCACAGCGTAGTAAAGGACAGTTTAGGAAACAAAACCAGACAGTAGATTGTGGCAGCACCACAACCCACCATGGGAGTAATAAGTAGCACAGTGGCTGGGATGGAAAGGAATGATGAGTATGTAAATAAGCCTGCCTGGGGACAAGAGGTGGCTTTCCAACTGGATTTGAAAGATAGGAACTTTCCTGATGGAGAATAGAGGAAAAGCAATTTAGGTAGAGAAACACAAAATACAAAGCCCCAGAGATCAGAGAAGTCACTTATTTAGGAGCATGGTGAGTAGTAGGTGTGGCTGGAATTAGAGGCTCAGATAGAAGGTTAGTGATGAGAGGCTGAGGCCATATTGTATAGTTTTGGATATTGTGCTAAGCATACTCGGTTTTGTTCTGTCTAAAACAAACAAAAACCCAAACCAATTTCCATTGCATCACCCCTGTGATTCATAGTGTTTTCAGTGGCCTATTTAAAAAGTAGATTACCAGTCCTTTCTTCCAAGTACCTTTGGATTAACTAAAACCACTAACCTTTTTGTTAGCATGTTAGTTATTTGCACCACCCAGGGACTGTTGAGAGCTCTGGTGGCCTAGTGGCAAGTTGTGCTGCAATCCCAAAGTTCGGGGCCACCAGCTGCTCCGCGGGAGAAGGATGAGCAACCTCTTTCCATGCAATTATTGCCTCTGAGGTTAGCTATGGGTCGGTTCTGACTCTATGATGCACAACAAGAGGGACTGTTTATTCTGTCTGGTGATTCCTGATTTTCCATTTCTGTGCCAACTGCATAAAAATAACTATAAAACTGACTGAAAACACCCAATCCTAAATGCCACTCCCAAAGATTCTGATTTAGGAAGCCTGAGCCGTACATAAGAATCTGTGCACTTATGTGTTTGCAATCTCCAGCTGTTGGGCAGCTAACGCTCGGGACCCTTGTCACAGATTACATAGAGCCATTCAAGGATTTTGGGCAGGGTGTGACATGATGTCCAATAAGTCACCCATGATTCTGCACTAGTGCCTCATGGAGGTTGGATTTGAGGAAAAAAGAAATAGTGATACTCAATGCTTGTATTTCTTTGGTCCCTGTCTGTGTACACGAATGGCTCACAGATCCTGGGGCCAGTGGAAGAGTTCCTCCTTAATTCCTGGAATAGCAATCTTTCTCCTTTTCAGAGGACATCCATTTTTTAATCTGTAACAAACAGTCCAGAGTGGCAAAAGAGTACTGTCACTCCATCTCTCTGTGAATTTGGGCCGGTTTATTAGGCTGCACTAGAATAAAAGGGCTTAGACGAGGATAAGAAGAAAGCAGGAGCCCCTGTTGTGATAATCAGGTAATGAAGGATGAGAGAAGTGGATGGCTCAGTGTCCCACAGGTTGAGACCATGCCTCTTGACTTTTTCTCCAATAGCACACTCCCTCCCTAGTCAGTTTGTGCTTTCCCCAACATCAGTCAGGCCAGATTTTAGGCCGTGTGCCCCACTGCTCAAACTGCTACTCTGGATCTCCCTATCATCCCACTAAAAGACCTAGAAGGTTCTCTCTCCCAATTGACTTTATATTGAGAGCATGGCTCTGACATTAGCTTCTGTTCTTTATAGGAGACAAGGAGATGGCGGCTGAATTGGAAGAGCTATATGGTGATATTGATGCTATGGAGTTCTACCCGGGGCTGCTTCTTGAGAAATGCCTTCCAAACTCCATCTTTGGGGAAAGTATGATTGAATTTGGGGCTCCCTTTTCCCTCAAGGGCCTCCTAGGGAATCCCATCTGTTCTCCGGAGTACTGGAAACCTAGTACATTTGGTGGTGAGATAGGTTTCAACATTGTCAAGACTGCCACCCTGAAGAAGCTCGTCTGCCTCAACACCAAAACCTGTCCCTATGTTTCTTTCCAAGCGCCTGACCTCATCCAGGATGACCAGTCTAGTGCAAAGCGGCCATCCACAGAACTCTAAGGGGACAACAAAGCAGTGTTCTGGAGGATGGAGCTTTGGGCTTGACATTCCAGAAAGTTGAGACCAGGGCTGGTTGTCTTAAGTGTTGAGTTTCTAATTTGGCATTGAGATGGATGGCCTTGACATTTAGAACTTTGCATCCATCACCGATTATCAGGAATGTTGTGGTTTTGTTTGTGCTCAAATGCTGAATTCCTGATGAATCATTCCTGGTTAATGAGTGGTTCTCATTTGGCATGTCAGAACACTGGGTTCCTGGCTGACAACCTAGACTGTGTGTATCTAGAATGTTAGGGGACTCTTGTTTTGCATTCTAGAATTGAATGGGTTGATGTTGGCTTTATGATTGGTGATGTGGAGAGATGTTTTTGCGTGACAGTTAAGAACAATGGTTAGTAAGCCAGAATAGTCTTAGAAGGTCTAGAATTGTTATTTGGACTCATTTTCCTGTTCAGTAAGATAGCCATTGAGCAAGATAATCTAACAGGAATATTAAGTCCAACAGGAATGCATTGCTTGAAGTGGTGCCTGCAGTGAAGAGGCAAGAAGATGCGGCATTTTTCTTGGGATCCTTCTTAAGACACTGAGTGCCCAAGGATGTAAGAAGAAATGGTTGAGTACTATTATGCCTTTGGTTGGAAACCACCAGGGCCTACACCTCATCCAGGTCTTGAACTATGGCAGCTGTTTCTTACGAGGCTAATAAAGTTCTATGTCCAAAGCTGTATGCTATCTATTATTTCTTTTGGTTCCTTCTTTGGAGGTAGGGGCAACACCAAAGTGGCCTTTATCCTAGTCACAAGCTACATGTAATGGAAATCACAGAATGAGGCTTTCTATTGGGATTCCTGGGGGTCTGTCACTATATATATGTTCCATAATTTCAGCTCTTATTTTCTTCCTCCTATACTTTAAGCAATAAATTTTCCATTCTGCTCTTCTATAACATACAGGGTCTTAGGCCCAGCAAATATAGCATCCAGTTCCCACCATCCTTCTTTACAGAGAATATAATAGAGATGACAGACACCTGGTGAGTAAAACACTTACTCTGTGCCAACTTCACTCTTTAGTTTTTGTTTATTGTTGCATTACAACTTGAAGTGGTATTGTTAAGTAACATTGAGTAGGAATGGACTCAAAGCTGCCTCTTCAGCAGGTTTTCAGAGGCAGTAAATTGCACAGGAGGAGACGGCCCATCTTCCTGCCATTGAGCACCAGGTGGATTTGAACCGTGTGCCTTTGGGTTGACAGCACAATTCCTTACCACTAAGTCACCAGAGCTCCTTGTTTGAGTTTAGGTAGTATGAAATTGTTGTTATGTGCCATTGAGTCTACTATGACTCATAGCAATCCTATGCACAAGAGCTCTGAACCCTTCTCTGAGCCAATCTCACCTATTCTGACATACCTACCCTCAATACCCCAGTTATTGTCTCAATCTGTCTCATCCAAGATCTTCCTCTCCTGCTCTGTCCCTCAACCTTTGCAAGCATGATGTCCTCCAAAGATTGGTCCCAACTGGCTTCATGCCCAAAGTATGTGAGACAGAGTCTCAAAAGTCCTTACATCCAAGGAGCACTGTGGTTTCACACTCTTTTGGACAGATCTGTTAGTTCTCTTGTCTTCGCCAACACCATAACTCAAAGGCATAAATTGTTCTTTTATCATCCTTGGTCATTGTTCAGCTCTCTGATGCATAGAAAGTAATTAGTATATTTAAAAAGGTTAAATTTTAAAAATAGTGGCAGCCAAAATACAAAGTGGTTATATAATTTGCCCACAGATATCACACCCAAGTTTGGAACCCAGGTCTGTTTGAGTCTACATGTATTATTTCATCCAGATAGCTTTACCTGGCTACCCTGATGTGTTTCAGTGTCAGGGTCATCTTGTCTAACTAGTCCAGGGTCAGAGACTGAGAATTACATATAATTGTGTAGCTACTGTTCACATGCATGCTATTAGGTCAGTCAATATTTATTTTCCTAAGTATTTACTATAAGCTAATATTACTATAGGGCACTCTTGTAGCCTAGTCATCAAGGAGTTGTGCTGCCAACCCAAAGGCAAGCCGTTCAAATCCACTAGGTACTCTGAGGGAGAAAGATGGACAATCTCCTTCTGTGTGATTTACAGCCTGTGAAAACCTACTGGAGGGTCAATTATGAGTTGATTTTGACATGATGGTAATGAGATTTAATTTTTTTAAAAATTTTATACTGGTTTACTTACAAAGTTTATGAAGTTCGTATACTTTTTTTTTTCTTCACACCGGATCTTTCCCCTTTCATTTACCCATCCCTCCCTCCAATCATCAAATTGTGCAATTCTGTGATTAAGCCCCCATCCCCACCCCTTGGATCCTTGCACTCATTCTACAATAATAGTCTTATACAATATTTATCCTCATGAGACTGAGTCAGTCCACTTAGCATAATGCTCTCCAGTCTCTCCCATGTTAGGTAGTAATTTACAAAAGCATCACTCCTATGTGCTGCATAGTATTCCATTGTGTGAATGTACTATAATTTCTCAATCCATTCCATTGTGTTTGGACACCTGGGCTGTTTCCATGTTCTTGTGATGGAGAATAATGCTGCTATGAAAACTGGTGTACAAGTCTTTGTTTGTGCCTCAGTTCATTTTCTCAGATATATACCAAGCAGAGGAATAGCTGGGTCATATGGAATTTCTATGTTCAGTTTTTTCAGGAAACGCCAAACTGCCTTCCAGAGTAGTTATACCATTTTACAATCCCACCAACAATGTATAAGTGTTCCTAACTCGCCACATCCTCTCCAACATTATTACTTGCTGCCCTGCTAAAATTTGCCACTTCTATGGGGTTAAGATGGTATCTCACTGTGGTTTTGATTTGCATCTCTCTTATTGATGGTGATTTTGAGCATTTCTTCATTTGTCTGTTGGCCATCCAAATGTCCTGCTCTGTGAAAAGTCTTTCCATGTTTTTTGCCCATTTTGTAATTGGATTATCAGTCTTTTCTTCTGAAGGCCCAGAAGTATTCAGTAAACTTTCGTTACGAGACTCTTGTCTGAGATGGTATGATGGCAATGAGGTTTGAGACCTTTTTTGAGATGTTATTATAGCTTTATAAGCAAAACATTGTTACAAAGACAGGTGAGAAAGAAAAGACTAGAATGGATGCCAGAAGAGACTTTGAAAATGACATTAGATTGCCAAAAAGACAAAACAAAAGGAAGAAATGAAGTTAAAGAGTTAAACAGAAGATTTTAAAGGGTGTGTTGAAAAGACCAAGTATTATAACCAAATATGCAGAGATCTAGAATTGGAGACTAAAAAGGGAAGTACCTGCTTGACATTTCTCAAGTTAAAAGAACTGAAAAACAAGTTCAAGCCTTAAATTGCAATACTTAGAGATACAATGGGTAAATCTTGAATGATCCAGGAAGCATCAAAAGAAGATGGAGGGAACACATATAATCACTGTACCAAACAGAATTGGCTGAAATATTTCAGAAAGTGCCATATAATCAAGAGCCATTGGTAAATTAAAGAAGTTCAAACTGCACTGCATTGGCAAAAAATAAAGCCCTAGGAATCAATGTGATATCAACTGACATGTTTCAAATGACAGATAACAGCCCTAGATGTGCTTATCAGTCTATGCCAAGAAATTTGGAGGATAGCTATCTGGCCGACTGACTGGAAGAGGTCCATATTTGTTCTCATTCCCAAGAAAGGTAATCCAACAATGTAGAAATTACTGAACAGCATCATTAATATTACATGCAAGCAAAATACTATGAAGATCATTAAAAACAGGCTAAGAACAGTATATATACAAAGATATGTATGTAGAATACTATAATTTCTCAAACCATTCCATTGTGTTTGGACATCTGGGCTATGTACATGTTCTTGCGATGGTGTGACGCTGCTGTGAATATTGTAACAAGTTATGGCTGACATTGAGAAGAATGGGAATCCCAGAACATGTAATAGTTCTCATGAGAAACCCATACCTAGACAAAGAGGCAAATAGAGCAAAGAAACATACCATGATTTGAAAGTAAGAAAAGTGTGCATCAGGATTACATCTTTTCTCCATTCCTATTCAGTCTGTATGCTGAGTAAGTGAGTCTTGAAGCTCGACTCTATACTGATGACACAATCTTGCTTGCTGAAAGGAAGGAGGAGTTGAAGTATTCGCTGCAGAAGATTGAAGACTGTGACTTTCAATATGGATTATATCTCAGCATCAAGAAAACAAAAATCCTCACCACTGGATCAGTAAATAGGCAACATCATGATAGATGAAGAAAAGATTGAAGTTGTCAATGATTTCATCCTACTTGAGTCTACAATTAACATTTTTGGTACCAGCAGCCAAGAAATCAAAAGTCATGTTGCACTGGGAAAAAAAGAAAATCTACTGTCAAGGACCTTTCTACCGGGTCCTAGGCTTCACGCCACCCTTGCAAACTTGGGCCACGGGCGCCTCATGTTGTCTCTCCCTCTCCCTCCCTAACACCCCTCTTCCTCAAAGTGCTAAAGAACAATGATATCAGTTTAAAAACTAAGGTGTACTTGATCCAAGCCATGGTTCTCTGTTACTTACAATGCATCTAAAAGTTGGACAATGATCAAAGATGACAGAAGGAAAATTGATGCCTTTGTGGTGTTGGAGAGAGCACTGTATATTCCATGGACTGCCATAGAACAAATATGTCTGTACTGGAGAAAGTGCTACCAGGGTGCTTCTTGGAAGGAAGAATGGTGACTCTTTGTCTCACATACTTTGAGCATGTTGTTAGGAGGGGCCAGCTTTTGGAAAAGACATCATGCTTGGAAACGTAGAGAATCACAGTAAGAAAGGAAGACCTTCAACAAGATGAAGCGACATGGTGACTGTAGCAATGGTCCCATGCATGTCAGAGACGGTAAGGATGGCATAGGATAGGGCAGGGTTCAGATCCAGTGTTCATAGCGTTGCTAAAAGTTGCAATTGACTTGACGGCACATAACATCATCATCATCAACAATTAGAGGTTTGGGACTACATCAGTGAATGATCAAGACACACAAGACTTCTGCCATTATAGAGCTCACATTCCAATGGGCAGAAAAGATAATAAACAAGAAAGCAATTCAAGAAGCTAAATGCAGGGTAAGTATGACCTCTTACTCCACTCTAGTCTGTCCTTTCCTACTCCACTGTGGAAATGGAGCAGTGGTGCTCCTAGGATATGCATCACCTTTCCCTTCCAATCTCAGGCCTGAAACTCTTGCC